TGAAACTGCTTTTTTCATCAAAGCATCTCTTGAAAAAGAAGTAAATGAGATCAATCACTTTTAAAAAATCACTAAAAAATCAAACTGATTTCAAATCATTCACAAAAGTATTCTGTCATTATTGCTGCAATTACTGAAAATCAAACATTGATTTTCTCAGTTCATAAATTACAAATGTGTATTTTAGAAATGACTTTAGCTCACATACACAATAGAAGGCTAAAAAAAATATTAAATGAATGAACTGTATTACTCTGAACAAAAGGCAATCAAAGTATTTGTGATTTCTTTGCTATTCTTTGGAGATAAACTTTTTTTTTATTTATGCTGTGAAGTCTTGATCAATTGCACTTTGGTGGTTATGGTTAATCTTGCATCTGTTTGGACAAACAAGCCAAATAATCATGGCTTTGCAATTTGTACTATGTAAAAAATAGTTCTAATTAACAATTAGACCTCGAGGTCGAGTGGACTACGAGCTAATAGCCCATGAGGCCGAGTCCGCGAGGCCGAATGGGCTATTAGCTCGTAGTCCACGAGGTCGAGAGGTCTAATTGTTTTAGTATAAACATACTAATCGGTCAAATAATGAAAACAAATTGAAAAATCCTTAAAACAATTTACAATTTATTTATTTTGATTTTCCCGTGAGTGGTCTATCACAAATTAGACCATTAGTAGAGTAGCCAATCACAGCGCAGTATGAGTGATAGACCATTAGTATGTTTATACTAATATAAGATAGTGATATTAGAGCATGGAAAAGGAAAAGCGATCTGAAGCAAACCCCCAATCATGAGCTTTGGCTCCAATGCCAAAGTCAAGAACTAAAAAGCATGAATTGATAGTAAATGCAAAGCTTTAAACATTCTAAGCTTCAATGTCCTGTCAACCCCTTTGACTTCCTGTCGGTAAAGCCCATTACCATTAAGAGCTGTGCCATACTCCTCTTTTTTACTCAGGTTATAACCATAATCCTTCAGACTTTTCCCTTCCTGAGAAAAAACCTCATCCAGACGCATCACAAATGGGACTACACATTCCTGAATGACATCATGTTCTTCATCTGTAAAAGGGGTCAAGGTAATTTCTGGAAAATCCTCCCCTTTTGAAGGATTTNTCCAGACTCCTCCAGCTTTCAATCAGAAAAGGGATTGGACATGAGAAGGCATAGATTGATCATTATATCATATTATATTATATTATGCTGTGAAGTCTTGATCAATTGCACTTTGATGGTTATGGTTAATCTTGCATCTGTTTGGACAACAAGCCAAATAATCATGGCTTTGCAATTTGCACTATGTATAAAATAGTTTTAATATAAGATAGTGACAAGGCAGGGAAAAGGAAAGTGATCTGAAGCAAACCCCCAATCAACCTTTGGCTCCAATGCCAAAGAACTAAAAAGCATGAATTGATAGTAGATGCAAAGCTTTAAACATTCTAAGCTTCAATGTCCTGTCAACCCCTTTGACTTCCTGTCGGTAAAGCCCATTACCATTAAGAGCTGTGCCATACTCCTCTTTTTTACTCAGGTTATAACYATAATCCTYCAGACTTTTCCCTTCCTGAGAAAAAACCTCATCCAGACGCATCACAAATGGGACTACACATTCCTGAATGACATCATGTTCTTCATCTGTAAAAGGGGTCAAGGTAATTTCTGGAAAATCCTCCCCTTTTGAAGGATTTGCAGCTTCCTGTAGKTTTTGCAATTGTTCCGATTCCAGRAAATCATCWGTATCTAGAACCCCATGTATCCCAGCATCTCTGTACCAGTAACCYCCCCCTGACTGCCACTGGTTRCGAAGGTAGAAGCTCTGGCTTCCATATATGCTTGTTTTCCCGTCTTCATTTACAAAAGATAGAGTTGGGTAGCTGTGCATCGCTCGGTAGACATAAATATGGCAYTTCTCTAGGCATTCAGCTCTGCGTTTGTACTTCTTGATGGCTTCCCCAAACCATGCAGTACTTACAATGTTATCATCTGATTTATCACGAGCAATCTGGAGCTCTCTTATCTTTTTATCGTTGYTTTTTATCATGTTCGTCAACCCTCTTCGTTTTTTTAATGTTTTAACTTATAGCTTCGAGAGTAGCAGTCACTGTTATGGCAACCAGAATTCAGAACAAAATCAGCTTTTCCTTCAGTTATTGGACACCATTTCTCCTCGATCGACTTGGTACCGAGAGTTGTAAACAGGTTTCACATGTACTAGTAATTGAAGCTACGAGGAAATATTCACATTTGGGTTTTGTATTGAAGGTTGAAGCCCTGAGATCCAGATCGACGAGCTGATCGAATACACAGAACACAGGTAGCCCACACTCAGCACTTGTCGCTTTGGAAGGTGAAGAATGAAAAAAATCAATAAAAGTTGGAAATCTCAATAAAATGCATTCAAACTCACAAAATATTTTGTGCTTAATTTTGTACAAATTCATACGAATTCCTTCAATGAAATAAACTGTCTTGATGTTCCGTGGATAATTATTACTTGCACAGGAAGCCCAGTGCCAAAAATTTCAAAACAWTTCTAATGTTCGCTAAATGTATTACTCAACGCTTTTCTCTATTGATATGATATTTCGTTATTGAAGGATTCGGAAAGTATACGAAAATTATTAATTTTTTTATCAAATGCTAATCTGAAAAAGCCCGCTGTGCGGACATGTTGAGTGGTTAAATGTAATGATCAAATAGCAACCGATGGTGAAAAAATCGGGACTAATTACATGCAAAAGAAATTAAAAGTGCGCAAAGCATTCTGGTCTTTGTACTATGTGACGCCATCATGTAAATCGCCTGTTTATACTGATTGGATGAGTCGCTACTCTGTTTCTAGCGCACTCTCCGCTGCGATAGCAGTAATCCCATTATCCGCAGACCTTGAAGAACTGCATGGCACAGTTCTGGTTGTTCAACTGGCAAAGTTTCGTATATAAAATGCTCCTCCATTATGTGGATCACATATGGATCGCCTAGCATGATCGAGCATGATTTATGAATGCAACAACTTATACATGCAAAATAAAAATGTATTTTATTTTACAAATACCTGTGTTCCCCAAAATACAAAGAACAAATTCATTGTTGCAGTGCAATTATTTTAGATTAATTTACATATAGATGAATACAATAAATACATGAGTTTACTAGAATTTTTGTAAAAACCGTTGATGGATTTACTTTTTCAATTTTGCAATATGCGCCTAGTTTCAAAAACGCGGACATTTCAAAATAGGCAACTGCAAATATGTATTAAAAATAGTGGACTTTATAGTYCAGGAGAAGTTAGAAATATGCACTTGTACCGTATGTAAAACCTGTTTTTGAGATATAACGTGCACTCTTATTGGTTAGGGCTCAGAGGCTACACAGCTTACTCAGTAGTATTCCATAAAAGAAAGGTCTGCATATGCCTCTGTCCTTCGATAGAAAGACTGCCACAAAGCTTTCTCCACTTTTACTAACGAATTAAATCCCGTGGGGGGGGGGGGGGGGTACTCCCATATATTCGCTATACGGGGACGTGCCGCTGGGTATACATTTCACCCCAAATTGTCTTAAACAGGCTCTACAATTTAGATAAAAGACTGATATAATTTTTGTGTGTGTCTTGGACAGGGTAATATTTTYATAAAAAAACACCGTGGAAATAGTAGAAATACCGTTTCACTGTCCCAGGATTAACGTGTTACCAAAAACTTCTTATTGTCTTTGATGGATGTCAGTATAATTGCAGTTTTGATGGTTGCGGCGTAGATAGCTATTCCTTATTTTTCCGATTTGTCTTTAACAGGGTAAGGAATTTTACTTTTTAGCGTCTTAAACAGGGTCAGCGGCGGCACGTACCTATCCAACGTACGATCCCCCGGCCCGGGATCGGGTTTGGAACCGACCACAGCTCGTGTAAGAACAAATCAATATTATTACAATCCCTCAACCAATTAGAGTGCGTCTTGCAAGCACGTCAGCATGATATATCAATTCTTATTTCATATTTCTTGTACAAATATCGCAGCTAGATCCATTGTCATCACTTCAGTGGCGATGACGCCTAGTTCTAGCATTTCTCATTCTTATTCTTTTAGATGAAAGAAAAGAGCAGCATAGATTCAACAGTCGGTGCATGGTATAAGTCTTCCTGGTTAGACACGTTCACTCTGTATTCTTATCATTCACTTTTGGCCACCAAATATAGTTCATGTGTCCTGTGGAATGATAAATAGTTTAATTACGATAATTCGCCCGAACCTTTCACATAAATAGATGAAAACTTACTCGCATTACTCTACCCTTGGTTTCTATAGGAAGCCGTAACGATACGATGACRCTGATCACAGCTGTAGTGGCATACACACCAAGCGCTAAGTCAATGGAGTATCGCAATAAGACCTGAAATAACAATATGGAAAACATGTATTGGTTCAATAGTACAACATATTAACGGCCAAGAAGTASATAACGAGGACTAATGGACTACGCGTTGATAGCCCATGAGTCCTTATTAGGACGACTGGATTATCAACTAGTAGTTCAAAAGACCGAGTGGTCTAATTGTTTTAGGATTCACTAAAGTATAGGACAAGTTTGACAAAAGACTGTAAATAGAAAAAAAAAATTCGACATTTTTTCGACTATTTTTGCTTCCTTATAGAAGCTGCCATGGTACTCATGAAGAGACCACAGCTCAATAGCCAATCAGAGTGCTGGATTTGTTATAGCCTTCTGCTCGTTTTTTATGGTCAATAGTTTGGTGGATACTGATCTCTTTAATCCGTTTAAAAGCTAAAACTTTCATTTCAGTCATCATTCTTTCATTTTCCATTCATTTAGCCAGTAGTACATTCAGTGAATCAGTCGGGTTTTTTTTCTGCCGTCCATTCGGTTATCAATCAAATATCTCGTGATCACTCACCTGACATATGAAAGGAGTTATCATTGCTCCAACCCTAGCTACTGAGCTGCAACATCCTAACCCAAGACCTCTGATGATTGTTGGGTAAAACTGAAACACAATCATATTAACATATTTTCAAGCAACATATAGCCATGACGTTCCGTTTATAAGTCATTGTCTACACGCAGCCGGATTGTTTGCATTTCTTGCGTTTTGAATAGTTTGTGCTTGTCCAAATGAATAGCCGACACTTTAGCAACAGAACATGTCTTCTGCTAGCACMTTTGAACAAAAATGCCAAGACAAGAACAGCTGCTAACAAAACCGTCCTTGAAAGTTGATGGATAGGTGGACGCAACCTGCGTGCAATAATTTGCAGCTACAAAAAATTCGGACTATGCCCATATTCAACAACGAAGTCAGCCGTCAAATATCAACTGTCGGTTGYTGCCAATTAGTTATTTAAAACAATGAAGACACTGTCAGTAATTTGTCGAACAAATCCGAGTCCATCGATTATCAATCGGTTAATAAAGCAAACAATCTAATAACCCAATCGGTTATACAATCAATCGATTCAGCAAACGGCCTATTAAATTGATTAATCGAAGAAATAATATATAACTCATTCAATATACTATACTGCATCAGCAGGCAAAAATGACAAGGGCGGATCCAAGGGGTTTTATCAGGGTGGCTAGCTACCTCCATTTTAGTAAAAAAATATTGAAATTATGACAGCCAATAAATCTGATTGGGAGTCATTCTGAATAAAAACAATCATTTTCGTCAGCCCTAAATCTATCCATTTCAATACTTTTTTTTTGGAGTTTGCAAACACCCTTCATATAAGGTTCTGGGTCCGCCACTGAATAATCATAAATGTATCAGTCAATCAAGTAGTCAGTTGGCCCATCAACGACATCACTGCGCAAAAGAACTAACTTCGTTTTYCTTACCTCGGGTGTATATATGTAGGTTGCCGTAAAAACACCTGATATACAGCCTCGAACACCAAATATAAATGCTACCATCCATGCCCTTTAAAATAGTAAACAAACAAATTAAAGGCCGATAACCTTTACGCTTGCTTGAAATTTCTTTTTTTTGTATTTTTTTATAAAATTCTGCAGTTGAAATTTGCTTTCCAATTGGTGAATTCGAAGATGGCTATCTTCGTATGTGAGAAAATCGCGCAAAGATTATCGGATGCACATTGATCTTTTAGCTATTGTGCAGAGGCGCAATTGTCTAGAGTAAGGCAAGATGGGAAATGTTGTCCTTGAAATTTATCATGCAAGTCCGCATTCATAATCTCTAATACAACGTTTTGTGGTTCCTTTAAAACTGTATAAAACATTGTACTTACATTTTGCAAAGAATACACGAAACGGATTCAATGCGAAGATGATCAAACGGACTTAAAAAAGTGTACGGACAACCTACATTTTCTGTGCATTCTTTATTCCAGAAAATCGGGAAGTCAAACACAATGCTTATCTATATTTATAAACATTAATGTAAAATAAATACCTTGAAGTGCAAATAAACAGCAGGATGAAAAACAAGGCAGTCAGGCTGTATAGAGTTGCTAGAGTCTTTTTTCTTCCTAGTTTTTCCAACAAGATGACATTCAAAACCACAACTAATTGAAAAGAGGAAAACTGCATTACTTTTTACCAATTATCGTTTATTTTTTTTTTCTCATAACGCTGGCATGAAACTGTCTCTCTATAAGGCCGAATTAGACAACCACAACTTTAGCCAACTTTAGCCAACAGCCATTGCATGCAATCTGTTAAGGTCATCCTTACAACATGGCTACAGCTGTCGTGGGGATTTACAACAATTACTTATTAGCCCTACAACGGTTGTAGCTATGTTGTAACGATGACTTAAGCAGGTTGCATGCAATGTTTGCAGGCAAACGTTGCGTCGTCTAGTTCGGCCTTATTGAGTCCCAGGGCTCAATTCTTCGTCCCAAACTCTCACGGAGTGGCTAGGAATGCCTGGCTATGCAGGCTATGCAGTCCCTGAATTTATGCTAATAAGTCTGTTTACCACAACGACATAAACAAAGCGAAAAAAACAGCAGCAACGGTAACAAAGTAATGAATTGAAATTTATCAGACAATTGAGTGAGAAGAACAAGCCAAATTAGAGTCCTTTGTATTTCGTAGCCTGAGTTTGATCGAGCGTTTTAGAGAATAAACCGGATGTACTAGTTTTTCGTGGAGGGGAAGATTTTCATTCGTATTTTTAAATTCTAAAAATTTAATTCAAATATTAAAATTTAAAAATTTAAGAAATTTATTTTTTTTATTTTATTTTTATGCTTACTAAGTCAGCACATCAATAGACTGCATGGAAGTAATGAAATTGTTTTTAAACTTATCCAGAATGTATTTGATAGACTTACTTGGTACTTCAGAGACTGTTGTCCACATCATGTCAGTGTAGTCTGATGTTGTGAGTAGTTTACATCCACAATGTGGGTTCTTTACGTTTCCTGTGCCAGCTGGAAGTTAAACCAAACAACAATCATTAATCGACGCCGAACAAGTGATGGACAAAGTAAGGGGGAGGGGAGAGGTAAGATGATTTGGTGCAGGAATTTTGTTTAGACCCTTAGTCAGTACTCGAAATGTATTTGGTATAATTGCAAGAGGATGTCAATGGGGGTACGCAAAAGTCAGTTAACTACAAATCTTTCTAGTTCAATTCTCGTGAGGATAGCCTGGGTGCTCGTGAAACGTTACATGTGCATCGGAGCTTGACTACTCAAACTGTGACCAGTTAAAAGACCAAAAAACTGTTGGACAGTAGATTTTTAAAAGACGCAGTTACAGGCGCATAGCCTCGTAGAGTGGACTTTTTGGCTAATACGCATGACAGGGACCGCGACATATTCTGGATTGGGGGGCTAACGAACTCCGAAGGCGGGAGTATTAGGGGGGTCGAGGGTTCCTCCCCCAGGAAAGTTTCACGTAATAACTCTTGGAAATGCGATTTCCAGCGTTTTGAAGGGCATCGAGAGCATATAAAAGGCATCAAAAACTTTTAATATTTCCTTTCCACTAGTACGCACGTTCGTATTCTACGGGCCTGAATTAAATGTTTAGTTAGAACTCAGTTAATATTGTTTTGTTCTCTCATTGGGCTCTCTGAGTCACTGATGTTGGTTTCTTTTCGACGTTTCGACGCCATTTTGGTAGTCATCTTCAGGATTTTATTGCATAGATTGAATCTTTGCAATGGTCCTTTGTGCGGTGCAGGAAATTTGAAATTTTTATTTCGTTTGCAAGGCGAATTTGTTTGCTCATCCCCCCCCCCTCCCCCTCCTGATAAATATTGCGCAGTCCCTAATGGCCTAAGGGACTTCACAAACAACTGAAATAGCAAGATCGATGGATGAATACGGAAAATGGTTGTTCCGGTTTGATTGAAAACCATTCAAAAATATCTTTTAAACTTATCAGGATATCTGTCCCCTCTCTCTCCCCTCCCCCTTATCTCTTTTCCACTACCCATCAGCCATCACGTTCTAGATATTACGTTTCCTGGAAGTCAAGTTCTAAAGACGTGCATCAAACCTACCAAACGTTAGTTTTATAATTTTTGTATCTTATCATGGCTGAGATAGAAAACTCGAGCTGGCAAACTCAATTTTCTACTCTTAGAGAGCGAGTTGAGTATGCATTCAACAATTCTCTGTTCTGTGATATCGAGTTTACTGTTGAAGACTCGAATGGAGACAAAGTTGCACTTTCAGCAAACAAATTCATTTTGTCTGTAAGCAGCCCCGTCTTTGAGACGATGTTTCAAGGGAAACTAGCAGAACAAGGACCACAAATTCACCTACCCGACTGCACCAAAGATGGGCTACAAGAAATGCTTCGCTTTTTGCATTCCGATGGAGTTAACCTGACTGGAAGCAACGTCATGGAAGTACTTTATCTTGCCGACAAGTACATGCTGCCATTGCTTCAAGACAAATGCTATGAATATCTTGCTGACAATCTCACTCCAGATGATGTATTCACTGTTCTTCCCCAAGCTCAGCAATTAAACAACACGAGAGCAGAGGAATTATGCTGGAATGTTGTCGACTTTCAAACCCATCAGGCCGTGACCTCAAAAGCTTTCTTGAATATCTCGCGAGTTGTTGAAGCAAGTTCTTGAAAGAGAAACACTTCACACAGACGAAGTAAATCTATTTAAAGCTGTGGATTCGTGGGCATCTAATAGAATAGATGAGGAAAGCAACAAAGAAAATAGCGATGCAAAGAGAAGTGTACTTGGTGATGACATAGTTCATCTCATTAGATTCCCCATGATGACACCGAAGGAATTTGCAGATGACGTCCTCGTCTCCGACATCCTTCGCGGAAGTGAAGTAACAGAAGTTATTCAAATCTTCACATCGACAGCGCCGTTGCAGACGTTGTTCAAAAGGGTTAAAAGGAGTGGTCAATGGAATGAGATGTGGACGGAGAATCGATTTGATGCCGTTGATACAAAGTATTGTGGGGGTCAACAAAATCACGCTATACTGTTTGAAGTTAACAAACCGATCTTCCTCGCAGGAATTCGATTATTTGCTGTTCAAAGTGAGTCGGGCACAAAGCTCTCTGAGAGTAAACTGTCAGTGCAAAACGTTAAATGCAAATCTAAGCTATTTCAAACAGACGTTTCGTCGAACGTTAAGCAGACCATTGATAGTGGCGGCTTGTACAGTGGACAATCCGTAACAATATCGCCTCCCATTCTTTTGCTTTCTAAAGAAAAGTACTCGATCACTTATTCAGCAAATGTTGTGCATGTACTTTCCTTTGAGCAAGCGTTCCGTAAAGCGGACAAAAGAACTGGTATCATTCGACGTGAACCAGCCCCTCCTTTTGGCCAATCTGCAAACCTAAGAGAGCCTATGAAGGAGCCGAGTTCTCCTAGGACAGTGTCAAACTTTACGTCTTATCTGGGTAGTGGTGGCAAAAGTGTAGTTCACTGCGATGATATCAAAATAACATTTATGAATTCTGAAGAATCCAACCCTGGTACCACTATTGAATACGGACAGTTCCCTTCGCTTCTTCTTAAACGGAGAATACTATTGAAAAAAGATCCAGTGCCTCTACTTTCATTTGGAAATAGCAGTAGGGATGGTTTCGATTTTGGGAGTGGGAAGAGTAGTGCTAGTGATCTGTTTGGAGGAACCAGCAACACTTGTTTAGATCAGAACTCGACTCCACTGGTTGACACTGAGGAAGAGGCCTAGGAAGAAGACCTAATCTAAAACTTATTTTTTTTTTAGTTTAGCATCAGTTTTCGTTTGATTTAAATCTATATCTTAAAATGACTTTTCTGTTCACAGCCCGTTTACCGAGTTATAACTTAAAGTACAAGGTAATGTATCATGACCCTTAGGAGTACAGTCTCTGCAGACAAATTGTAATAATGCACAATTAAGCAATTAAACTCGAAATGTGAAGAAGTGCTGAATTCTCAAAATTTGGTGTTCACTTTAAGGGTAAATAAGTTAATTGATAAATAAGTTTTGAAAAAGCGAAGCCGCGTCATGTAAACCAGGTCCATAATGTTTTAGAGAGTGGCTAATTGCAAAAGCGTTTTTCCAAGAAAAAGAGTTTAAACTAATTTATTTTTTTAAGTAGAGCGAAAATGATGATTTAAAAAGAAACCCTTGCAGACAAACTAAATAAAATTTATGGAGAAAGATTTTTACGTGCGACATCAGGGGCGGATCAAGGAATTAAACTATCATAAAGTAAGGAGATAAGTCAGTCACTTAGACTCCTTCGCATCCTACCATTTTATCCGTCTTCCTGTCTCGGCGTACCTCGGGAAACATTGAGATTCTGGGGAAACAAAACTAACCGTTTCCCTTGGGAACAGTCATTAAGTGTATAATGTATCTGATTAATTACTGTATTACTCAAATTCAATCACGTTAAATGATGCATCTGCATGCTAGTCTGTGTTGGCATTATGATGTAACCAAAAACGCAGTCCCATTTTAGTTGTCGTGTAGCCCGCTGTAAAATGCCCTGTTTCGCCCTCTCTCAGAGATATAAGACATCCATATTCAGGATCAGCTTTGGTGACATCTGATTTCTCCTTCCATAGAAATGTTTTCTTTCATATTCTTCACTCAGCTTGAAGTCAAGGTTTGTTATTCAATCTTTTATATGATTAAAATAAAAAAAAGGAATCTTACCATACAAGCCAGTCGAATAAATGCATGCAATTCCCAAAATTCCTCCCCCTCCCCCTCCCGTTATCCCTTTGCCAATGACCCACAACCCTTACTACCCATCAGTCTTCACGATCTAGATCTTTTTAGTTCCTGGAAGTCCAATTCTGAAGGCGTGCATCAAACTCATCAAACTTTCTTTTATTTGCATCTTATCATGGCTGAGATAGAAGACTCGAGTTGGCAAACTCAATTTTCTACTCTTAGAGAGCGAGTTGAATATGCATTCAACAATTCGCTGTTCTGTGATATCGAGTTTACTGTTGAAGAAATGGAGACAAACTTACACTTTCAGCAAACAAATTCGTATTGTCTGTAAGCAGCCCCGTTTTTGAGACGATGTTTCAAGGGAAACTAGCAGAACAAGGACCGCAAATTCACCTACCCGACTGCACCAAGGACGGACTACAAGAAATGCTTCGTTTTTTGCATTCTGACGTAGTTAACCTGACTGGAAGCAACGTCATGGAAGTACTTTATCTTACCGATAAGTACATGTTGCCATTGCTTCAATGCAAATGCTATGAATACCTTGCTAAAAATCTCACTCCAGATGATTCATTCACGGCTCTCACCCAAGCTCAACAATTAAACAACACGAGAGCAGAAGAATTATGCTGGAATGTTGTCGACTTTCAGACACACCAAGCAGTGACCTCAAAAGCTTTCTTGAATATCTCGCGTGACTTGCTGAGACAAGTTCTTGAAAGAGAAACACTTCACACAGACGAAGTAATTCTCTTTAGAGCTGTTAATACGTGGGCAACTAATAGAACAGAGGAAGAAAGCAAGAAAGAAAATGGAGATGCAAAGAGAAGTGTACTTGGTGATGACATAGTTCATCTCATTAGATTTCCACTGATGACAAACACGGAATTTGCAGATGAGGTGATTGTTAGTGGCATACTACATGAAAGTGAGGTAATAGAAGTTTTACGGATCTTCATGTCAACAGCGCCATCACAACTGTTGTTCGAGGGGGATTACAGAACCGGCCAGTGGAATGAGATGTGGACGGTGAATCGATTTGAGGCCGTTGATACAAAGTATTGTGGGGGTCAACAAAATCACACTATACTGTTTGAAGTAAACAAACCAATATTCCTCGCAGGAATTCGACTATTTGTTGTTCAAAGCGAGTCGGGCTCAATGCTGGAGACTAAACTATCAGTGCAAAACGCTCAATGTAAATCTAATCTATTTCAAACAGACGTATCGTCGAACGTTAAGCAAACCATTGATGGCTTGTACTGTGGACATTCCATAACAATATCGCCTCCCATTCTATTACTTTCTAAAGAAAAGTACTCGATCACGTATACAGCGAATGTTCAACCTCTTTCAACTCCGGTCCTTACTCCATCGTTTTGGAATGTAACAACTACCCAGCCATCTATCCAGTCATCTACCACCCACTCCACACTCGGATGCGGTTATTCTGTCTCCACAGGAGGTACATTCGGTTCTTCTGTCCCCACAGGAGGTACATTCGGTTCCACAGGAGGTACATTCGGTTCTCCTGTCTCCACAGGAGTTACATTCGGTTCTTCTGTCTCCAAGGGAGGTACATTCGCCGGTTCTCCTGTCTCCACGCGAGGTCGTTCAAAAGTACAGGCTGCAAAGGAGACTGATTCTTCATTGACATTCGGTTCTTCTGTCTCCACGGAAGGTTGTTCAAAAGTACAGGCTGCAAATGAGACTGATTCTTCATTTACATTTCATTCTTCTGTCTCAACGGGAGGTCCTTTTGAGTTCAAAAAACAGGCTGCAAAGGAGACTGATTCTCCTAAGACAGTGTCAAACTTTACGTCTTATCTGGGTAGTGGTGGCAAAAGCGTAGTCCATTGTGATGAYATCAAAATAACATTT